GCCTCAGTTTTCTCCCCTGTAGGGGGCTGGACTACATCATCTTTAAGATTCCTTCTAGCCATACTATCCCATGATTCCATAATTGTGTGAAAAAAGAAGTACCAGGTGGAACAGAGAATTTGACGTAGGTTTACGACCATGGAGTTCCTTATGGCCTCTACCTGCAAATATCTGCTGTCATCAAGTTCAGGTCTGGTTTGAGGACAGATGAGTTAATTGACTCTCAAAGGAATTAGTATTTGTAAGCTGCTTTGAGACCTTAGTATGAAGATGCTTCTATACACGCTTCCCTGGAGATCCGTTTATTTTGCAGTCAACATCTGAAAATATAAGAGACACAATCCCTATCCTCCAAAGCTAGTGCTTTATATAACACAAGGCAGACAAACAAAAGCAGCTCAAGTTTAAATGGTGCTTAGTACCTCTGTCAGTAATGGCTTTTTCTCTTCAGACGTCATTTTGCACTTTGCTTGGGTTGCTTCTTTGGATTTATGCATCATAAATTCAAGCTTCTAAATCAGAGAAAGGAGAAAAGGAAGGGACCCATACATACAAAAGTGCTTATAGTAGCTCTTTTTGTAGTGACAAAGAACTGGAAATCCTAAGGGGGGAGAGGAGTGCCCATAAATTGAGGAATTAACTAATTATGGTTTATGAATGTAGTGGAACATTTGTGCCATAAGAAATGTTTGTAAAAGGACTTAGCATGATGCCTGGCACACAATAGGTGCTACATAAATGTTAGCTATTAATATTATTGTTATTATTATAAGAAATGTCAAAAGAGATGGTTTCAATGACTCCTGGGAAGACTTGTATGAACTGATGCAAAATGAAGTGAGCAGAACCAGGAGAACAATGAATACAGTAACAACAGCATAGTAAAGGCAAACAACTTTGATAGAACTCTGACTAATGCAATGATTAGCTCTGATTTCAGCAGACTAATGATGAACTCTGAAATCATGAACTGAGCAGATAGGTGGTGAAGTGGATAAATCCCTGAGCCTGGAGTCAGTAAGTCCTAAGTTCAAATGTGACCTCAGAAACTTATAAGCTATGTGATCTTGAGTGAGTCACTTAACCTCTGTTTGCCAGGGAGGCAACTAGAGATATCAATGGATAGAGTTCTGGGCCTGGATTCAGGAAGATCTGAGTTCAAATTTGGCCTCAGACACTTACTAGCTGGGTTTCCCTGGGCAAGTCACTTCCCCCTGTTTGCCTCAGTTTTCCTCATCTGTAGAATGAGCTGGAGAAGGAAATGGCAAACCTCTCTACTATCTTTGCCAAGAAGACCTCAAATGGGGTCACAAAGAATCAGATATGACCGAAACAACTGAACAACATCAACAATGAACTATAATTTCTACCTTCTTCTAGATAGATGATGGACTCAGGGTGCAGAATGAGAGATATATTTTTTTGGACTTGGGCGATGTGGAAATTTGTTTTGCTTGAGCATGAACGTTATGAGGGTTTTTTTCTTTTCATTTTTTCTTTTAAGTTGGTGGGTGGGAAGGTGAGAAAATAAGGGCTTGTTAATTGAAACATAAAGTGAAAGGAAAAATTAAAATAGAATGCTTCCTCTGATAGCAGGGACTGTTTGTTTTGGTAATGTACAAAGGTACATAGCACATGCTTAACAAATGCTCACTTTATTAGTTGAAGTTAGAGCTTTTGTCTTGTGGTTTCAGTGAAATGTTCAGCTTTTGCACGTTTGGGCTTAAGACAACTTCATTCCTGTTAAGTTTGGTGAAATATCACTGGCCATGCCTACTTGAGTTTTTTGGCCACATCTGGAGATAGTAGTAACTCTGAACAGCTGAACCAGTCATTTAATCAAACCTAGCATGTGGGCCATTCTACATGCCTCACCAAGATCATTCTTCCATGGACTCAGGCTCAGATTACTCCATTTCATAGGGGCTTGTGTTCAGATTGAAACCTGGAGTTCTAGGGCCTGCCTGCCAAAGGCTGCAAACCTTCCTATTCTTCTTTTGAGTCAGGGCATCTGATACAGTGCAGCTGTGATCCCAGGCAGCTGCTTTGGTGGTGCCTTCGGTCAGATGCTGCCTTATTACAGAAGAATTGTTCTCCAGCCTCGTGGGCATGAGTCTGTGTGGTGAGTAAAAGACAGGGAGGCTGAGCCTGGGTTTGGCTGGAAACAGAGGAACACCAGTGGGGGAGCCAATTAATAATGCATAATTACAAGTCTGTCTGAGCTTTTTTTAGCCGGAGAAACCTGACTGAAACTTAGCTGGAGGCTGATTTCGTCTCAGAGCTTTTATTTGGAGGCCAAGATTGGTGGTGATAAGGATAGCAGTTCTAAAGAGATTCCTTCAGTGGGAGGAGTGTGATAAATTGGCAATTGGATGGTGAAATGGTATTTTTATCTTTACCTGTTGGAATCTTTCCCTTCCTTCAAGGCCCAGCTCAGTTGCTACTTCATCTATGAAGCCTTCCCTGATTTTCCCGGCTCAAAATGGTCTCTCATTATTCCAAAAGTCACAAAACTGTCCCAAACCTTTGACCCAGGGCTACTTCTACTAGGAATGTACCCCCCAAAGCTCAAAGACAAAGGGAAAGGTCCCATATATATAAAAATATTTATAGCAGCACTTTATATGTAGAAAGGAATAGGAAACAAAGTGAGTATCCATCAGTTGGGAAATGGCAGAACCAATTGTGCTATATGACTATAATGGAACACTGTTGTGCCTTAAGAAATTATGAAAATGACGAATTCAGAGAAAGCTGGAAAAAAACATAGGAATTGATGTAGAGCAAAGTAAGGTAGAACAAGGAAAGCAGTTTACACAATGACTAAACAATGAAAAAGAAAACAATATCAAAAGACATTGGAATGCCAGGTCAGTGCAGTGACCAATCCTGACTTCAGAGGACTAATGCCTCTTAGTAGGAAGGTGGTGGATTGAGGATGCAGAATGATGCATACGTTTTCAGATATGTCCAAAGGAAGGTCTATGGTGTGGGGAGATATATTATGATATAATGTAATATAATATAATATAATATAATATAATATAATATAATATAATATAATATAATATAATGTGTTTAGATAAGTAATATATAAAGAGAAATATAATATACAAAAAGAAAATATTTTTATTATTAAAATATTTATTTAATATTTTAAAATATTTTTTTAAAAAAGTGATCCCTCCTCTGTTGCCTTTTTGAATGGATTTTTGGGTATAGGAGAAGACTTAACCACTTTTTGTTAAAAAAATAAAAAACAAATTACTTTAAAAAAATTCCCTAGGGTATTAATAATGTCAGTCACGTCAGTCATTGATACCTTGCTAAATATTACTTCAATTATTTGTTCACAAGCATTCATTAACTGCCTTGTGTGTTCAAATTTGAAATCAGGTCCTCTTGACTCCAGGCCCGATGGAGTCCAGTAGGTTCCTGCAAGAAAATTTGAGGAGCAAAAGAACAATTTTATCAAATGGATCCTTTGCTTTCCTTTTATCCACCAGCAAACCGTGGTCCTGAGTGCTTGAATGGAGCCTGGAGAGCCTCTGGGTGGAATGAATAAAAAAGTAAATTTAGAGTAGTGGCCTGTGAAAGATCCGTTGGCATCTACGAGTTGGTACCATGGGAGTGGAGCAAAGGAGAGTGGGCATTAATAGGTGAGTAAGGTGCATGAGCAAGGAGGGATCCAGAGTAAATGTGTAGAATTAATACGCCTGACATCAAAAGGACTGATTTTGTTAGTCTATCTCTGGTGTTATGACCTTTACTAATGTGTGGTTAAAGACAAGCATAGCATCGCCCTTTGAGTGGGCTTAGTTTTTAGACCCCCTCCCTGCAATGGCATGGAGACACTTTCAGATGTTATTAGAAAGCAAAAATGTGAAAAGGGAAAAGAACAGAGGTGAAGGAGTTTCAGGACGAAATAACTTTGACAGCATAAGAATGGAGACATCTGCTAGCTATCAGTTGCTGTAATTGCTTGTTAAGGAATTTCTAGTGTAAAAAAAGTAAATAAAACCTGGGAATCACGTTTACATGCGGTTATTCCGTTATCTTTGAGATTTAGTGTTTTGTGGTTGTGTGTGTGTGTGTGTGTGTGTGCTAATATAATGGGCTCATGGTTTGTGAATTTTTTCATATACTGGTTTACCTCATAAGATACTTATTTACCAGTGTAGGACATGTAGTTAATTTCCTCAATGTCCTTAACTCTAGGGTTTGTGAAAGCAGTCTGTCTTTATTACGATAAATAATAAATACTGTGCCTGAGGCAAAGTTGTGAGAGAGGCAAGATGTTTGGCATTCCCTATACTTTGGCATTTCCTCCAAGAGGGTATACTCCCTCTCTCTAATTCTGTTTTGTATGGCCTTTTATAACTCCTCTCCCCTTGTAGGTGAAAAGAAGATAGAGTTGTTGGAATGTCGTTGAAGTGGCTATAAGAACTAGGAAATACCAACCAGAAATTCTGGAATTATACTTGGAACATTACAAATAAATATTGGATGTCCTCTGGGAACTGGAGTGAGGTGAAGAACTATAATCTTTATCTATTCCCCTGGGTTTAATTGTCATCCTCTACTCAGCTGTCTAGAGGCAGCTAGATGGCTCAGTGGATAGAGTGCTGGGCCTAGAATCAGGAAGACCTAAATTCAAATCTGACCTCAGACATTTACAAGCTGAGTGACCCTGGGCAAGTCACTGAACCCTCTTTGCTTCAGTTCCTCATCTGTAAAAATGAACTAGAAAGGGGAAATGGCAAACCTTTCCAGTATCCACGAAAATCTCATGGGCAGTATGGTCCATGGGGTCACGAAGAGTCAGACACAACTGAACAACAACACTCAGCTGTTAAATTGATCATCCTGAAATCTAAGTCCAACCATATGATTCCTCCATTCAATAAACTCTAGTAATTCCCTATTTTTGTAATTTATATTATTAAATATATATACTTTATATTCTATTAATTATATATCATATATAATTTATGTATACACTATATAATTTATATGATTAAAATCTTCTTTTTGGCTCTTAAAATCCTTCACAACCTGATGCCTTCCTACTTTTCCAGTCTTCTTATACTTTGTCCCTCTGTACTCTTCCATCCAATGATAATGGCCTCCTTGCTATTCTTTGCACAAGATACATCTCCCAACAGAGTATTTTCATGCATGGGACTCTTTTCCTCCTCAACTCCTTTTCCCAGCTTCCTCTCTTCCTTCAAGTTTTAGCTAAAGTCCCACCTTCTATAAGAGGCCTTTCCCAATCTCCCTTAATGTTAATGTCCTCTGTGATTATCTCCAATTTAACTGTTACTTTATTTATACATAGTTATTTGCATGTTGTCTCCCCCATTAGACTGTAAGCTCCTTGAGAGCAGGAACTGTTATTTGCCTTTCTTTGCATCCATAATGTTTAGCATAGTGCCTGGTGCACAGTAGGTGCTTAATAAATGCTAATTGACTGATTCACAGATCCATCTATCCAACCCCAACCTTTAGAATGGCATCACCACCTACTCATAAGACATTTTAAACTGGACATCTCCGGCACGTCTCAAACTCAACATTTCCAAAAACAGATTAAACATCATAATTATCTTGTCTCCAAGCTCACCCTTCTTTCCACATTCTTAAAGTGCCTCAGGTTTAATTTTGGCCTCATACTCTATTCTTCACTTGCACTCACCCAGTAAGTTAAGTTTTGATTTCTCCCCTCTTTTGTATCTGATCCCTTCTTTCGCCACACAGAGCCACAATTCTTCCTTCAGGCTCTCATCATCTCTCCACTGCCTTACAGCAATAGCTTCTTAACTGGTCGTCTTGCCCCAAGTTTCTCCGTACTAAATGTTCTACCTATGGTGAAGTAATTTTCCTTAAGTATAGAGCTGACCATTCCATTTCCCTTACTCAATAAACCTTAGTAGCTTCCTATTGGCCCTAGGATAAGCTGTAAACTCCTCTGTTTAGTTTTTAAAGCCTTTTATGGCCTGACCTCAGCCTGTCTTTTCATCGTTGTTGTATATTACTGTTCCTCTCAAATTATGAGATCTAGTCTGAATGACCTCCTCTCAGTTTTTCCACACACAGCACTCCATCTCGCTTCTCTGTGACTTCAAACTGGCCACCCCTCATCCTTGGAATGCCTTCTCTTCTCACCTCTGATTCCATCAAAGTGCAGCTCAAGCAGCATCTTCTACATGAGGCCTTTTCCTCATCCTTCCCCCTCCCTCTCTTCCAAACTTTTAATTGTTCCAAATTTAATTGCTCCAAATGTAATTGTTCCAAACATTTGATTGTTGTTTGGCTGTTTGATTTTGTCTGATTGGACCATATTGTCCAGGGGTTTTCTTGGCGAAGGCACTACACAGGAAGGAAACAGCAAACCACTACAATATCTGCCAAGAAATCCCCCAAAAAGGGTCACCAAGGGTTGGACATGACTGAAAACTACTAAACAACAGTCTTACTGGCTTTATGCCCAGCTCTCTATCCACTGAGCCACCTAGCTGCCTCCTAGGGAAAAAGAGGTTAAGTGACTTGCTCAAGGTCACACATATATTAAATGTCTGAGACCAGATTTGAACTCAGGTGGTGCACTGGGCCTGGAGTCAGGAGGACTCATCTTCCTGAGTTCAAATCTGACCTCAGACACTGGTTGTGTGGCCCTAGGCAAATCACTTAACCCCATTTGCCTCAGTTTTCTCATTTGTAAAATGAAATTGCAAACCATTCTGGTGAGGAAGAAAAGTACAAATATAGGGGCCGTTAGGTGGCATAGTGGATAGAGCAACGGCCCTGAAGTCAGGAGAATCTGAGTTCAAATCTGGCCTCAGACAAAACACTTGACACTTACTAGCTGAAATGAAATTGCAAACCACTCTAGCTAGTATTTTTGCCAAGAAAACCTCAGATGGGGTCAAGAAGGCAGAATATTAAATGCATCCTTTTCAGATCATGATGCAATAAAAATTATATGTAATAAAGGGCTATACTCAACACAAACTGAACATAACTCAACAACAAACTTCCTCACTGCAGGCCCACCACTCTATCCACTGATTGTCTGCTGCCCAGCATTTAACTACTTTGTATTTATTCTTTTTACACTCATTCTGTATAAATTTATATTTGAACTTTATTTATTTATTTTTTTTAGGCAATTGGGGTTAAGTGACTTGCCCAGGATCACACAGCTAGTGTCAAGTTTTGTTTGAGGGCAGATTTGAACTCAGATCCTCCTGACTTCAGGGCTGTTGCTCTATCCACTACGCCACCTAACGGCCCCTATATTTGTACTTTTCTTCCTCATCAGGATGTAAGATCTTTAAAAGAGAAAGAGAATGTTTCATTCTTTGTATTTGCCTCTCTAACACTTAGGATGGTGCCTGGCACATAATAGGCTGATTGATTGATCCCAAATGGTTAAAAAAGAGAAAGTTTTGTCACTGAAAAGATTAGGCTTTAGTTATCTGGAAAACTCATTTATATGAGATTACTGTTTCTCAGATATTGACAGATGAATTATACTTATCATTGTTCTTGGCATTACTAAATGCTTGCTGATGGTTTGGTTCTCTGAGATTGTCAGATTTACTGGCATATAGCTGAGCAAAATAGTTCCCTAATTATTGTTTTAATTTCTTCTTCCTTGGTGGTGGATTCGCCCTTTTCATTTTTGATACTGGTAATTTGATTTTCTTCTTCTGTTTTATTAAATTAACTAAAGGTGTATCTATTTTATTGGTTTTTTCATAAAGCCAGTTCTTAGTTTTATTTATTAGTTCAATAGTTTTCTTAATTTCTACTTTGGTTTTCAGTATTTCCAATTTGGTGTTTAATTGAGGATTTTTAATGTGTTCTTTTTCTAGTTTTTTTAGTTGTATGCCCAATTCATTGATCTCCTCTTTCTCTACTTTATTCATGTAAGCATTTAGACATGTAAAACTTCCGCGAATTAGGAACTGCTTTCGCTGCATCCCATAAGTTTTGGTATGTTGTCTTATTATTGTCATTCTCTTAAATGAAGTTACTGATTGTTTCTGGGATTTGTTGTTTGACCCATTCATTTTTTAGGATTAGATTATTTAGTTTCCAATTACTTTTTAGTCTATCTTTCCATGGCCCTTTATTGCATATAATTTTTATTGCATCATGATCTGAAAAGGATGCATTTAATATTTCTGCCATTCTGCAGTGGATTGTGAGGTTTTCATGCTCCAGTACATAGTCAATTTTTGTGTATGTGCCATGCACCATTGAGAAAAAAGTATATTCCTATCTATCTCCATTCAGTTTTCCGATGGTTTGGTTCTCTAAAGACTTTGTCTATTTTATAGTACAGTAACACATAGTGATAGGCTAAGCAGACTTACTTGTGTCAATTTTATGGATGGAGAAGGAGCAGTGCTAAGAAGAAAAACGACCGAGACAAGGTCAGACAATGAGTCTACACTGAAGCCATGAATAGAATCCAGGATACCTACCTCTTATGGCTATTATTTCCTAAGAGGAACTGATGGTTTTAAAAGCTATAGAGAGGACTCTTCCCATTCGGTTGACCTAAATCTCTTCATACTTTGGCTGATTATCAAAGCATTACTTTAGCAAAATGCTTTTCCCTACAGTCCCAGATTTTCAGGTGTAAGTGCTG